TGGGAGAAAGTCTGACAAGACATGCCGGGAAAAGGCAGGAAAATGATAGGTAGGAGCGTCCTGGTTTGATGGTTCCTAGTGACGATAGCGGACAGCACTAATAGGATGAGAATCGTGATAATGAGACCGAGTACTGACTAATGTAAGATCTTAGTTCACTAGAATTTGAGAACGGGAGAGCGAAACGTGGTGGCAGATGCACAATTATGCAAGGAACGCCGCAAAGTCGATGAGAAGCTGAAGTAGAAGCCTGGCATCCTGGGAAAGGCTAGAAGTAGTCTGCACTCAACTCTTGGGAAGGTTTCTTGTTGACCGCTTTCAGGGGCATAGTAGACTGCGTAGTACCGTAGAGTAAGCCCACATTTCAGGCGGTAGATCACTACAGTAAGAGATATGTGTAAGCACTGTTAATCACTAGGCCATAGGCTTATAAAAATGCGAGGGTACCGTGCTGCATGCACGAATATACCCTATTAAGCCCTATAAGCTTAGGTACTGTCAGGGTCAGGCCTGACAATGATAAAATACGAGTAGATTAGATTACCCCTGATTGCATAATCCTTGAGAAAGAAAAAAAATTTCCACAGTTCTGGCACACCCCAAAATCAAAAATCAAAAATTTCAATTTTTCTGTATAGGTTCACAACCACAATTGATTATGATCTAAAAAATTATCAAAATTTAATAAATAGAGTGTAGATTAGATTATAAAATTCTTAAAAGATTTAAATTATTCGTTATATTGTAAAATAGAATAATCGCGAATTTTACGAAGTACTCTTGACAGCTTTAGAATAGCCGAGGTTTTTAAAAAAAAACCTTGGCATAATTTTTCAGCGCACCCTCGACAATGTCAAATCAATATTTTATTATTTTACTTACGTTGTATAAATTAAATTTTTTAGATACTTTAATAATAAATACTTAGATATATAAAGTATATATTTTATAATTCTTAGACTATAATTAATTGTGGTTGTGAATCTATATAAGAATAATTAAGATTTCGATTTTTGATTTTGGGGTGTGCCAGAACTGTGGGAAATTTTTTTTCTTTCTCAAGGATTATGCAATTAGGGGTAAGAGATATGCCGCATGTGAGATCTGTTTAACTGCCCGAGGACGATGCAACTCTACTATAAATATCGTTGTCTACAACGTCTCCTCTATCGAATACGGATTTCGCGGCCTTTGGCGAATAGCACGATTATTGATGTTATTGATATTAGATTTGCCTGCGCACCTTATAGAACCGAATTACCAACTTTACAACTACAATTCGAATTGTAAAGATTTCTAAACATCAATCAGACAACCAATCGCTGTTATTTCAACGCTGCTTAGCTATAAGAAATTGACAAGAAAATTAGTTAGTCTATAGAGTTTTCATTATGTTAGAGTCGCGAGCGAGGCCGATTACGCTGCTTTCATTACGAGCGTACCCTATATCCTTCTTATGAAAATAGAGTAGGCAGACTAACGGCCTGTATACCTGTTCTACCTCAATTGATATCGTCTAATAATGTGAACGGAGACTGATATCAAATTCTTTGAGACAGGATTGTCTTCAATGCTTGTTCCTTGCTGTCCATCGTTACCTCTCTGTTTTGGACGAGTCGCTGCGCAGATTTAGCCTGGATCCGACAACTACATTCAAGTTTCTGCTCACTAGTAAATTCCGAAGCAGCATCACGATTGTGACTTTTCCGATTGCCGGGACATAGATGGAGGCTTTGTCTTTGACATCGCCTTCAAAATTCTTATTGTCGCGGTCAGTCACTTGGTGCGTCAGCCGTGGGAGAAATCCTCGAACCTTTTCAGTCGAGAAATTGATGCACACAGCTCCCTCTCTGAGTAGTTTGGTTGGAAGCTTGAAGGAATCTCCGGGTACGCCGCAGATGACTACATCGCTGAGAGGCACGCAAGTCTCTAACCCCCATCCTTCCTTTTCCACCACTTCGTGCCTGCTTTTCCTGATTCCTTCACCTCGTGTGAATTGTTGTACCCCTGTGACATCCACGCTGTACACACAAGCTCCATCGTTGGCCAGCAAGGCAGCCAATGGTCGCCCAACGGTCTCACTCCTGTTGACGACAGTAATTGATCTACCAAATAGCCTATTCCCGTATGGTAGGATGCTGTTGTAGACCCTCAGAAAGTCCAGAATTTTTAGCACGGCGAGTGGCGTGCATGGCAACAAACTCTTCTGACTCATGTTCTTATCAAGAAAACGCTCGTTGTGGTACAGCTTAAAAATATAGCGATGGCTGAGGCCCTCGACGTCTTTGCTAACGTCTGTGACTTGCTGGAGGTACTGGTCTTGACGATTGCCAAAGATAGGATAGTACACAATGATGCCGTCTACGCCATCATCTTCGTTTGCTGCTAGAACATTGGCTTCGAGGTCTTCTCGATCAACTTCTCGAACTTCAAATTTGAAGCCGCTGAATCATCAAGGTCAGAATATTATCTAGAGAAACAGCACACCAGCCGAACTTATAAGCAAAGGTGATACAAACATGTATTCTCACTTTTCTCGACAGGTGCGGTCAGTCCAATCGGCGTATTTGCGAGCAGCTGGATCTGTGTTTGCAAGAAATCCCACGAGTAATGGACTCTTTCCCAGTTTCGAAAGCCCTTCTGACACCTCGGTCAATAGATCTTTCGCTACTGCGCCGGCCAATACCACCTGACAAGACATAGGGTCAGCTTTCTTGTCTGCAGCCGCCATGAAGAACAACGAACATATGATTACTGAAGATCAACAGAGCAGAGCCGAAGTACTCGTGTGGCCGAGAAGTCTATCATCTTGGCAGTCCGGCGCGGGAGTACCCACCAATTAGACTACCTCGTTTCTCCGCAGTTTGATATTAAATTATATCTACATTTTGAGAGAAGAAAGTACTGTTCTTGATCATTATCGCAATTATGATTACTATAACTGCTATCTTTATATATAAATAAGTTTCTCAACTATTTCACTACCTCGCTAATTAATAAAGATTTTAAATAACTTTTATATAAATTATCGTTATTCTTAAATAGATAATAATATTATCTTCGCCCTCCATTAGATAAATATCTCTTAAAATCCTCTTATCGGTGTTGCTATACTTGACGAGATAATTTTTCTAAGCTAGGTAAATCGTAAATAAGAGAAGAATATACTAAAATATCGTCTAGAGTATAAGATTATAATAGAATATATTTTAAGAGTAGAGGATTTCAAGTGAAAGAATATTGGTGGGAGGTGCTTTAGAGGAGATATATCTATTCTCTAAAGTTATTACATTCTCTACGAGTAGAGCAGAGCTATAATTTAACCTTTTAGCGCTTATAAACTCGCTCTACTATAGCTTAATTAACGCGTGATAACTAATCTTATCTAATAGCCTCTTAGACTTCGTCTTTAGCTTTCTAATTAGCTCTCTTAATCTCGTTTTATTTAGACTTTAGACGTACTTTAAAAAACTATTAAAGATTCTTAATTATATATAGATCTGGCGAATTTACTATCTACTTAATCTTTTTAATTTCTTTATTAATATATTCTTATTTATATAGTCATAACGCTTTTTAATATACTAATACATTATTCTTAATTATATATATCTTTTTATTAGAGTTTCGAGTTATAACTTTCTCGGCGAATTTATATAATAATAAAATATAGTTTTCTTTATAACTAAGGCCATTAACTTTATAAATAATATACTCTTTTTTAAAATATAATTACATTTAAGTAGAAGATTTTTTCTATTTTCTACCTTTATCGTAAGAATTTATTTAATCTATCTTCTTTAGTTACTTATTATATTACTCGATTATCTTATTAATATTCTAGAAATCATTAGCAATTATAATTAAAATCGTAGTATTCTAATATATTTATAAAGTCTTAAATTCTTTAATATCAGAGATCTTAGTAAGTCGTTTTTTTTTCTTCACTACCTCTCTAGCTAATAGATTTCGAGCTATATACTTTATATTCTTATCGATCTTCTGCTTCGGCGTTAATGGCTCTTAAAGATACTATAAACTAATTATAGATATCGGTTCTATGAAATAACAGCCTTAGTATATTTATATAAATTTGATGGTTAATATAGCTATAGTACACTCTTTAGAAGATCTATTCTTCGAATAAATTATTTTCTAACGCTTAACGCTTCCTCCTTTAATTTTATAAATTAATTTATCGCTATAAATAAAGATAGCTTTTTTATTTATTTCTTTAATAGTCTAATTATACTATTCTTTTTATAATAACTTATTCTCTAAAGCTAAATATAGCTTTTCTAATATTATAATACGTACGAGTTCCTCGATAAATAAGTTATTCGGAGTCTTATAAATATACTTATATTAAATTCGTTTTAATATAGATCGAGTAAGACGTTTTTAACCTACTTTAATAAAGAGATTCTCTTTATTAATTACTTCGATTAGTTTTAAGATATTATACTTTAATATAATATTTTATATATCTATAGATATTTAAGATTCTTCTAATACTCTTAATAGTCGACTACTATAATTAATATTTCTTATATATATTAAGATCTCGTTAAAATCTTAATTATTAGCTTTAGAAATAGCTCTCTATATAATCTTTAATACGATATTTATATATATATTCGTCTTATACTTAATTTCTTCGTACATATAATTAAATAGTAGTCTATAGATAATAATTATATATCGTAAAAATAAGAGCACTTAATTATATTATTCAACCATGATATAATAAGATATATATGATATAAATTGGGGAAACCTGTATTATTTGTTTACTGCGGATGATTTATAGCGCTAACTTATCTAGGCTAGACTGCCAAGATAATAGACTTCTCGGCCACACGAGTATTCGATGAAATAGATTTGCGGGTACTCGTAGGGCTGTAGGGCTGCATGTCGATCTCTTAAGCGAGCATGACGTTTGAACTCTCTCCACGTTAGGTCTCAGATCACTCAATTAAATGCAGTTATCACAACAGACAATGTCTAATGTTCAGCAGTATCTGCTTACAATTCATAGTGACAAAGAAAAGGCACTAAGTATAGCACAAGACACAACGAGAGGTATGTTACCCCAGGCACGTGCGAGCAACCAATGCTGATGTGTCCAGGGCTTGAGTCAAAGCAATTGACACTGATCGAGGTTGTTCAATCCTTGGGCGAATACATTAATGAAGAAGATGATTCGATACGTGCCAGAGCAATAGACTACCTCTCCCAAGTCATCGGCCGATTGAGTCCGACATTTCTCTCACGGCAGCAAATACAAGTGCTCTGCCAGTTCCTTTGTGACCGCATCGAGGATGGAGGCGCCGTCGGAGGCCTCAGAAAGCTCCAAGCTTTGGGGAGGTTCAACAAGGATATGGCAGCGATGACCTTCAGAGCGTGAGTAAGTGAGTCATCATGTCTTCCTGGACATGGGGCATGCGGACAAGGCTTCAAAATGCAAAATTTATGGCCAACGACTTGCTTCAGTCGCCTGGCGTTACTGAGGATCCTGACGTTAACTAACGTGCACGTAGAATGCTCGACCGTTACCAGGACCTGCAAATCCGTCCGCAAGCTCAAAGGGTACAGATACTGGAGCTGCTGAACGACTTGATGTTGAAGCACCGCAATGCACTCAAAGAGCTGGGTAACGAGTCCATTGTTGGCATTACAGACCTTGTTAGTGGAGAGAAAGACCCGAGAAATCTGATGGTCATCTTTTCGATACTTAGAGTTGTCATGGTAGAATGGGACATACCTGGACACGCCGAAGTTTGTCTCATCTCGGTAGGTTATGGAACTCCACTAATTCCATCTAGATGTTATTCGATTCGGTGTTCTGCTACTTCCCTATTACCTTTCGACCGCCCCCAGATGATCCTTACGGGATTACTGCACAGGACCTCAAAAGCCGCCTGAGAGATTGCATTGCTGCATCAGGACACTTTGCACCCTACGCATTTCCTCAATTAATTGATAAGCTCGACTCTACATCACCAAATGTCAAGGTAGGTGTTAGCCACTCCTCTACAAAGTCACTCTCTGACATGCCACAGAAAGATGTCCTGCAAACTATCACAGCTTGTGCGTCATCTTATGGCATCACGACCCTCTCAAACTATTCGATAATGCTATGGGACTCTTTAAAATTCGAAATCTTGAATGTCCAAGAGGAAGACATAGCAGAGGAAGCACTGGTCTCATTGCAAGCCATAGCAATCAGGCTTGGTCTAGGTTTAGACTCTACGGATCCGAAGACGCCTTTGGCCAGGTATCTGCGACCGATCACAAAGGAGTGTAACGAACAGCTCCAAGAACCACAGCATAAACAAGCAAAGCCTGCAGGACAAATTCTTAGTGCACTGGGTACATCATCGCCTGTCACATTCTTCCTTATTGTCAAAGCTATCGTTCCGTCTTTGATGGCCCTTTACCAGGATGCCGAGAGCATTGCAAAGCAAAGAGCGCTCCTGGAAGTATTGGTACAAATATTTGATTCTGCAATTGCGGTGTACGGGACGCCCAGCATACCGGCCCCAAACACAAGGGTAGAAAATCCTTTAGAACCCTTCAAAGATCGGCTATTTGAATTGAACAGTCAGGCGTTGATGGGCAGTGCAGCTGACGAAGTATCATTCCGTGTGGTGGCACTGAAAGCTTTGCTACGCTTGTGCCTTCTTCGCAGATATTTGCAGGACAATGAGATTGGTATGGCTGTCCAATATTTCGATGAGATTGTCCTTTTGGAGGATCCAAGTGGAAAAGACGACCTGAAAAGAGAGGCAATCCAAGCGTTGGTCGAGCTTTCCAGGATCAAGCCCAATCTTATTATGGACATCACATTCCCGGCGTTTATGGCGAAGCTGCCTGACTCGAGCCCATCAGACGATCAGGATTATCTCATTACCTTGGAGGGCCTGGCAAAGCTGAGCGTGGAAAGATATGTTGCTGACACGCTCATTCGACGACTGCTGAACAGATTGGACATTGTGCTACAAAACGATGGATGTTCCGCATATCCGCAAGCAATCTTGTCCACGTTACACTATATCCTCAGTCAACGAGATCTTGATCAAGATCCAAATCTGAGCAGCTATCACGAGAGGATAGTGGTTGGCCTCACTAGTCAGGTGGTGCTCGCAAGTGTTGGCAAAGCCCCGACTACAGCGCTGAACGAGGAACCCACCTTGGAGATATTGGGCCGTTTGGCCGTGATGATTGTTCGTGCCCTGGATGAGCACAAACAGCAATCCGTGGCGCTTCATATTTACTCATTATTCGTGGACGAAGCCGATTTTGTACCTGTTCCCTTCAGAGGTAACATACCAAAGCTGCAAATGTCGACGATGATTCTTTCTGCTTCCTTGATGGCAGGTGTAAGGCACTCGGTGGGTTGAACCCTTTTGACGGTGCTTGCAATCACTCACAGAAATAGGTTTCCCTGCAATTTACTGATCCAGGCGTTGGCCCAATAAATAAAACACTTGCAGAGCTCATCAGGATAGCTTTCTCAGAGGACGTGCCGCCTTTACGACAAGCCATTCTAAGACAAATCGGTCTTTTGACAAACAAGTTCGTATTGCCGCAAGACACGGAGTCAGTCCTTGGAATCTTGAAAAATCTCCTCTTGGGGCTGTCCGAGACCACAAGTGCATCTGAGAATGCAGTACGAATTGTGTTTTGGGTAGCAAAAGGGCTCATTCTACGACTTGCCCACACAGATGAGATACTGGAGCGTTTATTAAATCTACTATCCGTCAAAGAATGCGGTATTGCAAGTGCTCGTGGTTTTGGACTGCTTCTTGCACCAGATGAGGTTCTTTCGAAGGAAAATGGTGCCCAAATCAGGTTGCTTGCAAAGCAAAAGGTGTTCAATATCTGTGTGCCCAATATCGCCAAAGAGTTTCGAAGGGCGAATCCTGCAACCAAGTCAAATTACCTCGTTGCGTTGTCAGGCATCCTGGAGCACATGCCTACAGAAGTGGTTTTGCCAGAAATCGATACGATTCTCCCACTCCTTCTGCGAAGTCTCGATCTCGAGGACTCTGACGTCAAGGCGGCGACCATACAGACTCTTACGGTCGTGAGTCAAGAGAACCCTAAGGCTATCGAAGGACATGTTGGCAGCTTGGTCAGCAGGCTTCTCAAGTGCGTTACATATCCCGGGGTCAATTCAGCCGACGTACGGCACAATGCGTTGCGTTGCTTACGGGTATTTCCTGGAAGGGTCAAGGACAGCACTCTACTTCCTTACAAACATACAGTGACGAGAGGTCTATTGAACGTCTTGGATGATCCCAAGAGAAACGTTAGGAAGGAAGCGGTGGAATGTCGAGTCGCTTGGTTCAACATGGACGAGCCTCAGAGCGATTGAATGAGTAGTGCTGGCGGGAGATCAGTCGTATTGTGTCTTGCATGGAACTGCATACTGGGAGTAGAGATCACATAAGGGATTTGTAAAAGAGCTTATATGGCACGTTCAGCTCCAACTCGGACTTGGGTCTCAGCTGTTAGTAAGTTACGAATGGGTACTGTATCAGTAATGTGGCAAGATAAAATACAGCTAGAGTATTTTTCAACCGCCCAAGGTGTGTCAAACGGCCGATCGGCAGCTCACAGTGTGGCGTACTGGCGTCATCAACGATCTAATGTTGATGTTTCCTTTCTCACTCGTACTTACTGTTGCACGTGAGATGACTTAAAAGAAATCACGGCACGTTCTTTGATTGCTTGAAGGTCTGGGAATTCTGTACCTTCAACCGTTATCATTCAAGAAAGCGCCGTCAACAAGACCACAGTCAGCGACAACAACTCTGCGTATACTCGGCTCAGGGCCTTGGATTCCTTTCCCTCCATACTCACCATGTCTACCATCACAGATATCACGGACGAATCTACCTTTCACTCGCATGTTTCCTCCCTCCCATCAACCGCCCTAGCCGTCGTTTCCTTCCACGCGCCATGGGCAGCCCCATGCAAGCAAATGCGTCTCATTCTAGAAACCCTCGCTTCATCCTACCCACCGCAATCACCGCCAGTCATATCATTCCTAAGTCTTGACGCCGAGGCTCTGCCAGAAATATCTGAGTCCTACGACGTCACTGCTGTACCATTCCTAGTCCTTCAGCGAGATGAGAAGGTGCTCGAGAGCGTCAGTGGAAGCGAGGCTTCGAAGGTACGGGACGCGGTTGAACGCCATGCTGGAAAAGGGGGTAATACTGGGAAGCTTGGGCTGCCACCTGCGTTGGAGACCAGCCCAGTAGGAGGCGGAGAAGAGAAGGGTCAGCAGACGGAGAAGACCAAGAACCTAAGTAGCTATGCGCCGGAAAGTGGTGACGCTGCAACGGCGCCTGAGATGTCGTCCACGCAGGGCCAGAAGGAGGAATTGGACCAGAGATTGGGAGAGCTGGTAAAGGCCGCACCTGTAATGCTCTTCATGAAAGGGACACCTAGCACACCACAGTGCGGCTTCAGCAGACAATTAGTTGGTTTGCTGAGGGAGAAGGGGGTGAGATACGGTTTCTTCAAGTAAGTGGAATCCAAACTGTGAGGTTCTCTGTGTCCAAGTGCTGAATTTTCACAGCATACTTGCAGATGAAGAAGTCAGACAAGGGTTGAAGGCTTGGGTAACGTGGATGGTTTTGCTGCTATGGGATGAAGCTAACGAACAAGTAGTCCGATTGGCCAACCTTCCCACAGCTGTATCTCAAGGGGGAGCTCGTTGGGGGTCTTGACATAGTAAGTAAGCTAAATTCCTTAACATCATGTCCACTAATATGATTTAGGTGAAAGAAGAGTTGGACAGTAATCCGGGCTTTTTCTCGGATTATCAAGCAGCGCCCAAAGGGCAAGGGGGTATGTCGGCGCCAGAAGCTCAGACGGAACCGATCAGTACTTGAGATGGTCTCGTTTTCTGAGGTTTGACGAGGTTGAGCGTTAATGAGGATGGGTGGCGTTCTTGGAGATGTTGGGCCTCCACGTATTCATTTTGATGGCGGCAACGCTGCAGATATAGCAGAGTCAGATAAAACACTCGAACCACGAAATCCGAAAACCCATAGAAAATTCGGGTTCATTGTTGATATTCTTATTACCTTGAGCAAGGTAAAATACAGAAAGTTCTTGGGGACCGGGCTCCTCCACATATCTGCCGCGATAAGCGCGCTCATCGCTGTGTTGACTTAAGTATTCTTCTGCAGCTTCATAGTGCAGTTCCTTGGCGAGGACGATGATATCGGGCACTTGAGAGTGCATGGCTGGATGTCGGGAGGTGGGGAGTACCTTAAGGACGAGGCACGTAGAACGATCTGAACAAAACTCGTCGATGCAATGCTCATCAATTGATCAGGGATCTCGACTGCAAGTAGTAGCGGCTGGAGCAATTGCAGGCCTCGTTTCAAGGTAGAGACTTGCAGGCACCGTGTTCGAGTTGGACTGATAGCTGAATCGTACAGGTCCTGCATAGCCCCTCTTGACGTTCTCAAAATCCGGCTACAGCTCCAGATCCATTCTCTTTCCGATCCGTTATCAAGCCGGGACTCAGCAAGAGCTGCGCGTTATGGTATTGGAAACACGTTCAAGAGCATTCTTCTTGATGAAGGAATCACAGTAGGTCCTGGTCAAGGATTAGAGAGTGTTGCTGGTCACTGACTATTATCATGGAGTAGGCTCTGTGGAAGGGCAACGTCGCAGCCTCATTTCTTTACATCAATTATGGAGCCGTACAATTCTCCGTCTATCGTGCAGTTTCCACAACAATTCATCCTCTGAACATGCAAAACGAGGCCGAAGCCTTCATCTCCGGCGCTGTTGCCGGGGCATCAGCAACCACTTTCACTTACCCTTTGGACCTCCTTCGCACACGATTTGCTGCGCAAGGGCCAGATAAGGTGTATGCCAGCTTGCGAGGCGGTATCCGCGATATCTGGCTTGAGGAGGGTCCAAAAGGCTTTTTCCAAGGGTTGGGAGCTGGAGTGGGCCAAGTCGTGCCTTACATGGGACTCTTTTTCAGTGCGTATGAGGCCTTCCGAACACCACTGGCAACGCTATCTCTCCCATTTGGATCCGGTGATGCGACTGCTGGCGTACTCGCTAGTGTGTTAGCCAAGACAGGAGTATTCCCATTGGATTTGATCAGGAAACGCCTGCAAGTGCAAGGGCCAGCGAGGGCGCGATATGTAGGAGGAACAATACCGGTGTATGGGGAGGGAGTTTGGAGGACGGGAAAGAGTATCGTGGCTCGAGAGGGGTGGAGGGGATTGTATGGAGGTCTAAGCGTAGGATTGGTCAAGTCTGCGCCAGCCAGTGCGATTACAATGTGGACGTACGAGAGGGTTCTCAAGATTTTGAAAGAGATGGAGAAGCCAAATGAGAAGATGACATGAAATTCTTTTCCGGCGAGCTTGCCGGCCGCCGCGCAATCAAAAGGTTTCTTTCGAGTCCGAATCTTTGGTGGAATCTAGCGCACACATGCCTGTCTGCAAGGTGAGTTCCTGGTATGCATAAGAGCATTATGTGGGCAATGATTAGACTAACGACCACAAAGGCGGGAACTGTTCCTCATCGATTATGGGGATTATCAAGGTGTTGCAGAACCATCTTCAAGCGTCGAATCGCAGGGCCGTCTTGAAGACAACTCTGGTTTTCATTTGCTGCCTTCAATTCCTCGCGAGCCTCATGTACTAAAGGCAACATGTCGCCCCATACTTCATCGTGGTACCTATCTATGTCGATCCAAGGCTGGACATCCCCTAATTTTGATAACAGAAGATGCCCTCTTTCATGTATGCCTTTCTGAGTTGCCAAAGATGCATTACTCAAATCCCAAGGAGCGCGAAAGTCAGGCACGAGATCAAGATGGTTTGATGAACGTAAAGCATCGACGAATCTAGCTGGCCCTTTCCGTCTTTGCAGTCTCTCAAACTTTTGCTCTTCCCCTCTGGCCTTCTCCATATCCAGGGTGCTGTTGGGCTCTTCGTCCATCGTAAATGCCGGGTCAGACAGTAGAGCTACGACAGCAATGCCATCATTGTCTTCGTGCGTGAAATCTTGGTTCTCGTCCTGCGTTTTCCAGGTCTCCTTCTCTTGTAGTCGCGGCAGATGATCCTCTCCTATTCCCAAAGAGAACGCCGACTGCTGGTCAACATTCCACGCAGGCCCATCCTGTGCAAACTCGGATTCATGCTCAAGTCCGTTTAGCCCTGCGAAAAACTCACCGAATGCAGCCTGACCATGACCTCTTCCGAATTTGCCGACTTTTTCATTCGAACGGAACGATTCGCTTTGGTCTAAAGTGACTTGTTCATATTGTGCTGATGAGCGGAGTGCCAAGGAAGACTCGCCTATGTCTGTTGAGCTAGACGACGAACCGGCTTTGGCACTGTCGGTTCTGAGTGAAGACAGGACTCCAGTGACAGCTTTTGGTGAAGGTCGTGTAAACTCTTTCAGCAGTCCGGACGCAGATTCTCCTATCCGTTGGGACAAGATAGCCGTCGCTTCTGATCCCTGACGAGGTGTCTCTGCTGATGGTCGTCTGGCATCATTTGCTCGCTGGCTTCCCAAAACTCGACTTTCCAAGAGGGACTCAATGTCCGAGATCCCGTGAAGGCCAAGGCGTCCAACCCCCGCTTTCGGCTGATTCCCCATATGTATTGTGAAGATCAAAGATTAATGTGGGAAAGGTCCCTTCTTGTAGATGGGGTTGACCTAGGTTCCGTTCTTAGAACGCAACCTCTTCAAGGGAAGTGTAGGTGGGTTCAGGAATGTGGTAATAGAATTGATGCTGTTGTTCAGGCTTCCAAAATTTGGGGAGGTTTGAAAGTCCCGAAACGCATGATTAAAAAGTGAAACGTACAGAGTGTGTTCGAAGGATGGATGCAATATGTCGTAATGTTTAACACAAAACCGAGGCTCTGCTTGGCCTCAAAAGTGACGCACTCGAACGCACTCTCGCACTCTGGGAAGCTCATGATCGGGCTTGGCGCTATCGTCCCGTTCACACCTCCCAAACTCTCTCCCCCGTTCATTTACTCATTCATTCACTTTGCTTGCTACCTTGACCGATCTCGCAATCACAGTTACGCCGGACTTGATGCAAGAACATGGTACTGCTTGACCATCTATATAGAAGGTTCAAAGCGGAACAATAGTCGGCCTAGGCATTAGGCAAAATCCTCACGCGCCCACCTTCCGCCTTGACATCTTCACACTCGGTCTCTACCATACCCAACATTATCCCGCCAAACAGAAGCTGCAGCTGAAGGCAGCAAAGCGTTCTTGGGGCCCAGCGTGCTCCTGGAGATCAGGCACCGTGTTGCAAAATAGTGGTAGGTCGCGGCAATAAGTACAGCTGCGGCGAGATTGTGAGGAGGATTCGAGAACAATGGTTGCTCCCGAAGAGCCCACTCAGCCAACATGGAAATTCACCCAGTAAGTTCCCTAGCGCTTGGTGCTTGGTGTTGAAGTGAACCATTGTCCTCGGGTGTTGTCTCTCGAGGCTCTGTGCTACGCGTTACATCTCAATGCTCGTGAAGTATACACATAATGCTGGAGAACACTCTGCCCAACAAAGCAAATGATCCGGGGCTTGACCGCTGGCTAAATTGTGAATCTAGGTGTTTTGGCGACAAGGGTGACGTTGAGGACATAACCGAAGGTGAGTCCGAAATACATAAAGTTTGTGCCACCACTGGGATCAGGCTTGCTGACATGATTGTCTCACAACAGCGGACATCATTTCCACTGTGGAATTCGATCACACGGGCAATTATCTAGCAACGGGTGACAAGGGTGGACGGGTAGTACTCTTTGAAAGGAACGAATCGGTCCGTTACATCCTATGCGCAGGAGACCCTCAAGCGTCTTCGTGATGCGTTCTGAGTAGCTGACCGTTGGCAGAAGAAAACTTGCGAATACAAGTTCCATACCGAGTTCCAGTCGCATGAGCCCGAGTTCGATTACTTGAAATCCTTGGAGATAGAAGAGAAAATCAACAAGATCAAGTGGTGTAGAAGACAGAATGCCTCTCACTACCTTCTCTCAACAAACGACAAGACAATCAAGTTATGGAAAGTCTTCGAGAAGTCGTTGAAAGTGGTGGCGGAAAATAATCTCTCACATGATCTCACTCCGGGTGGTGCTATAGGAGGAGGAGGTGGCCCACCACGACCGAATCCAAATGTCTCATTTCGCGATGCTTCGTCTCTCAAACTTCCTCGCCTTACACACCATGATACCGTTGTTGCTGCGGTCCCTCGTCGAAACTACGCAAATGCACACGCCTACCACATCAACAGCATCTCCGTCAACAGCGATGGAGAGACGTTTATCAGCAGTGACGATCTGCGTATAAACTTATGGAACCTTAATATACAAGACCAGAGCTTCAACATCGTCGATATCAAGCCTACCAATATGGAGGAGTTGACCGAGGTGATCACCGCTGCCGAGTTTCACCCACAAAGCTGCAATTGGTTCATGTATGCAAGTTCAAAGGGCACGATCAAGTTGGCTGATATGCGTGAAAATGCTCTTTGCGATCAGCACGCCAAACGTAGGTCCGCTGAGTGATGCTGAACCAGCGGAAAGCTAATGCGAAACATTCCAGAGTTCGAGCAAGAAGAAGACCCGTCAGCGCGCTCCTTCTTTTCCGAGATAATATCATCAATCTCTGATGTACGGTTCTCACACGATGGTCGTTATATTCTGTCCCGCGACTACCTGACTGTCAAGATCTGGGACGTCAACATGGAGCGGACCCCGGTCAAGACCATCCCAATTCATGAGCACCTGCGACCTCGCCTATGTGATACGTATGAAAATGATAGCATCTTTGACAAGTTTGAGGTCGTTTTCTCTGGCGACGCAAAGAACGTAATGACGGGCAGCTACAACAACAATTTCATGATCTACCCATCTGATCCAGAGAGGGAGACGGAGGTCGTGCTTCAAGCTGACAAATCCGCTTTCAAGCAAAAAAAGATTGGCGTACCAACACCAATCAATTCATCTACAAGCCCCACCAATGGGCCATCGAACAAGAAGGGCAACTCCAGAGCGGGCAGCCCAGCAGCAGGAGCAGGAGGACAAGGGGGCCGAATGAAGAAGGAGACGGATGCAGACCAGATTGACTTCAACAAGAAGATTCTGCACATGAGCTGGCATCCTTTTGAAGACAGTATAGCCATTGCAGCTACGAACAATGTAAGCAAAGGACCCTCTTGGTTTGCATTACGCACTGAACACTGCTGATGTGAAATCAGCTTTTTGTATTCTCGGCATTGTAAGCAACTACAGCTTCCATAATCATTGCGATTCTTAGTCATACATCCGGTGGTTATTCACTGCATGCATGCAATGCCAAAATGCATCCTTTCTTATGGATCAACCACTGAACTCGGACCGGGCAGGCACGAACAGTCTCAGGACCTATAGACGCAACGTGAACCAGCCGAATTAGAAGGCGGCTTTGTGAGGCATAGGGCGATAAAGGCATGGCTTGATGTTCTCCGGGCATAATGATAGGCAGCATCCCGATGCATGCAAGATCCTTACGGTGATAATGATGCATTCAGAGCGATGACTGAAGGGCGGTACTGTGGTCGAACAGACAATTCGTAGATAAAACATTATCCAGCTATTCGACCTGCTAGGTTTTGAGCCATGGTGTATTGTCGGGGAAGCACCTTTCTCTCCGCACCTACAAACCCTGGCTTGCAAGGTTCACCTTAATCTACTACCAACGAAGGCAATAAGTGCAAGACCTGCATACCCAGCAGTCCTCGGGATGCTGGTATCCTGGAGCACCAGAGATGGTTTTCGTTTCCACAATGCGAAGTAAACCGCTTAGTTGCTTAATCTGATGCGATATCAAGTACATGAGTCCAATGGAGGCTTTCTCTCTCTGTGCTGTGCTGCGGATCAAACCGTCATAGACCTCGGGTCTGGTAGCCTCTCAACCCGAAAGCCTGTGGCTGATGATCAATTTTTGGAGGCCCCGTATAGAGGTGAGGATCTAAAGACATGAAAAGAGAAAAGAAAAAAAAAAGAAATATCATATGGGGACCCTGTTATAAGACACTGTCAATTCTGGGACAATTACTCGGAAGAGCACCTCGGGTACAGAGGTCTGCACCGAAAGTCCTGCACCCGCCAAGACTCTTGCGCTCAGACTTCGGATAACGCCCCACCTAAAGGGCTACCTGGACAATGCGTCTGGAGTTCTTCGGAATCGCACCTAGCCCTAGCCAGGTTTCGGGGCTTAATGCCTCTATCAAGCCAAAAGAAGTACCTAAAGTCCCATCCATGCGCTGTGAGAAGATATTTCTAGGCTTCCCCTCTACAGGGCCGCTTTCCGAAAGTAGGGTTAGGGCTGCACTAGTGCGGGTGCAGGACTTTCGGTGCAGACCTCTGTATTTCTAAGGTAGGCAGCAACGCGGCCAACGCCCTAAAGTGAATTACTCTATTCGCGCGTATGCTCGGCAAATTTACGGCGGACGACGGCTGACACTACGACAAAACCAAAAAAAAATTCTCTTTTCGTTTTTTTCTTCGCGATTTCTAGTTCTCAACTCTTCGAGAGGTACTTTTTGAGGTATTCTTTAGGGGCTACTCTCTGGGGTACTCTCCGGGATACTCTTCGCGGTACTCTCCAGGGTACTCTCCGGGGTACTCTCTCGGGTACTCTTTCGGGTACTCTTCCGGGTACTTTTCCGGGTACTCTTCCGGGTACTCTTCCGGGTACTTACGACGGATAATAACTAACACTACGATCGAATATTTTATGAACACGGAAAGTCCTGTAAATTTTTTTTTTTTTTTTTTTTTTTGAAGAACTTCATAAAATATTTTGAGAGTACCCCGGAGAGTACCTCGAAGAGTACCCGGACGAATACCCCGGAGAGTACCTCGAAGAGTACCCGGAAGAATACCCCGCAGAGTACCCCGCAGAGTACCCCGAAGAGTATCCCGGAGAGTACCCCGGAGAGTAGCCCCTAAAGAGTGCCTCAAAAAGTACCTCTCGAAGAGTTGAGAATATTCTAAAAAGAATATTTTGGAGAGAGTTACTAGAAATCGCAAAGAAAAAAACGAAAAGAGAATTTTTTTTTGGTTTTGTCGTAGTGTCAGCCGTCGTCCGCCGTAAAATTGGCGTCAGGTACCGGGAGATCGACGGGCTTCCCGCAGGCGCTAAAGTAGATAAATCTGGCGGGCATCATCTCTTCGATCTTACATAGCTATATAAGAATACGCCGGCGACCACTGCCATTATTACCATTCTCACCATTCTAGCTGTTGATACGGCTCTTCTGTTCTTCAAACATTCAGACATTCTGGAAATATTCCCTTGGTGAGTCTCAATCTCCTTTTCATCCACCGCACAGATCCACCATCATCACAATCCATCACAATCATGAACACTTATAGATGATACTGTGAAATAGACGCCCATAACAGCGCATAAAGGCTAACAAGGTCTACAAAGAAAGATCAAGCATGAACTCCTCCACCCAAGGCAATGTCGATCCTTATCAGGCTCCCTCGACAGCACCAAGTCCCCATGCAAATACTCCTCCCCGCGCCAGACAGGTCACTGCTGCGCCAGCGCTTGAGCACGGGAAAGGGCAAGGGATAAGGAAAGTGGGAAGAGATCATCGTGGTTCGTGGACCCTGGCCAAGGTCTTCGGCACTTCAGCGCCATTGATACATATATACCTGCCTTTTTTCATCAATTGGCTTGGCATTGTCGGTCTCATATTCGGAGGCTGCTGCTCCAACGTAAGTTACAACCACCAGCGTCTTGCCCGCTTTGACCCAAAACATGACGCAGGTGTTCGCCTTGGAATCAATCATCAAGTGAGTGCACGGTTTTATCATTACCCTTGCTTACTTTCGCTGACTGCTGGGTCATTAGATGGGAACCAGAGAGCGGTACGTCGAACCTTGCCTTGCTTCCAATCGACATGACCTGACAATCATAAAAGGGCTCCTGATCACCTTCGTCCAGTTCGTTGTAACAGCGCTTGTCACATCGCCGACTTACTTCTCTGCCCGCCGTCCACCATTCTTCCTCAAGCGGCGCCAAATTCCCTTGACTCGATTGACTCTAAGTGCCTTGATGTTTTTCGCTGTGAACATGCTCAATAACTTTGCCTTTGGCTACAACATCTCCGTCCCGGTACATATAATACTACGAAGCGGAGGAAGCGTGATGACCATGCTCGTTGGCTACGTCTGGGGGAAACGTTACACCAGCATGCAAAGTAAGTCGGTGCTGGTGATGGCACGCAAGCTTGTGGCTTATGCTGAACTCACTTCAGTCTTCAGCGTAGCGATGCTCACAGCCGGCATCGGAGTGGCAGCCATGGCGGACGCTCAAGCCAAGGCATGCATTAACTTTTTTTCGGTCACAACGCTTTCTATGGCAGGACACTGATCAATAACATGCAGGGCAAAACGAAGTCCACTTCCAGCACCAACATAGATTCCGAATTCATCACAGGCCTCGTGATCCTCGCTGTCGCTCAACTACTCTCCGCGGTTATGGGAATTTACACTGAGATCACATACTCCAGATACGGCAGACATTGGCATGAAAACCTCTTCTACCAGCACTTCCTTTCAATACCGATGTTTTACCCTTTCTTTCCCTCGCTTCTCGAACAATTGAAGAAACTTGTCTACTCCGAACCCATTCAGCTTTCGCCTTCTTTGTACCGGTCCCTGTACATAAAGTCTAATTCGACGTTCGACTCTGGCGACCTTCATCTTCCACCGATGGCGCTTACGCCTTCTGTTCTCGGGGTCGCATTTCCAAAACACGTCTTCAACCTCGCTCTGAACGCTGGGACGCAATTTGCTTGCATCAGAGGTGTGAACGCCCTGAGCGCCAGAACATCCGCGCTTGGAGTCTCCATCGCACTCAACGTCAGGAAGCTAGTCAGTCTGTGCGTAAGTCTCTGGCTATTCGGAAACAAGCTACCAGAGGGGGTTCTTTTAGGCGCAGTCATTGTGTTTGGGAGCACAAGCATCTGGGCGTGGGAGGGCCAGAGGATCGGAAAGAAGGATAAAAGGAAGGGAAAGATGCCGTAGCGATGTGGCAAACAAACGATTGAGCGGCATTCAAACGGCATTCATTCGGCGCATAAGCGTGAGCGATATCGAGATACCCATGGTCGGAGGCGGCGCACGACGTGTACCATCGCATACAAAGCAGTGTCTGCAACGTCTGCAACACAGCAAGCAAAAGGGTGGATGAAGCTTTCTCTTCTATGAACTTCAATTTCATCCGAGCTCATCCAATTTGACAAAGATTTTCTGGACAGCATGACAAACCGGAGAGCTGCATGGTTACTTGGCGTGAAATCTACCATGATTGTGGATATAAGTACCAGCCAAGATTAGGTCAGTCTCAGGTACGAAAGCAGCTCAATGAAGAATCCCCACAGATGTGACATGTACAGATCTATTGTGAAGGCGACTTGCCAAGAATAAATCGCATCGGGCTATCGAACGTAGGAACAGCAATCGACGACCTCAGGAATGCAAGCCGCCACTGCGAGAGTAAACGGAGACCAACGCCTATATCACCCTCTGTAAGAGGATGTTTTCCGTACTAGAAATACATTGATTAGGTCTTCCCTACAGCACCTCTCCAACGATCTTGGCAGCTTCCCGGTAGGTGCCTAGATTGCGGGAACCTGTAAGCAAATGGCCTTTTCAACAACCTCCGGCTTTGAGGAACATACCAAGCAACTTCTCACACTTCTCCCTCTCAGCTTTGATCCCGTCGTCCTCATACAGCAGATCCCCGAAGAGGTCTTCTTTGTAAAGTTCACTCACCAGCCTGTTTTGCACAACATCTTTGCTGTGGTTAACAAGCAGGTGCATGACCGCTTTTGGAACTTGGTCAGCGATGGTTTCGCGGACGATGTTGAAGTAGGAAGAGATGAGCGCGCGGATGAGTTCTGTTTCCAGGGCTTCCCGCTCGGTGAGTTCGGGATCGCCTTGGGAGGGCTAAGACTTCTTGTTAGAGTCGAAATCTAACTACTTACGCATACGTTACTTTGGAAGGGGGATGGGGACGTACAAATTGAGAATCGTAGTCATTGTAGCCCTGACTTGACCTTGCAACCTCGTAATCGTCCTGACTGTACGCTGGTTGTATAGATGATGCTCGCTCTACATGCTTGTTCTCACCCCTTCGGATACTCTGGCTGAAACTGGGCTCGTTGTGGCTCACGTGGCGGTTCCCAGCTGCTGCGGCTGCGGCTGTACCGCCTACTGCATTAATCCCACCAGCTGAAGGCAGTCCGCCTTCCTTGCCAAAGAAGTAGTTGAGGAACGAGTCTCGTGTATTTCCTGCTGCTGCGCCGACAAACCTTGGTGGCGAGCCTGATCGTCCGTTCATCGTTGCAGCAATGTTGTTGTGGCCATTCTCACCATTTCGGCCAACAGCAGGAGACATACTTCGGCTGCTTTTGACAGTGTGACCTCGATGCGGGAGTGTATGTATACTCTTCAGATCGTCTGCGGCTTCTTCCTCGTCCTCGGGGGTTTCCGTGCCGTTCATGCCGCCTGCTAACTCTTTCATTCGTCTCTTTTCCCGCTTCCTTCTCTCCTCAGCCGCGACCGCCTTCTTCTCTTTCTCCTGCTTGTTCTGGATCACAGACGACATTGCTGCTGCTGCGCCAAGGAAATTGGGATGGTTGGTATTGATGTAGGCGCGCTGGATGGAGATGAGAGATTCCACGTAGCTGGATGCTGGACCTAGTCTTTCACGGAGGAGGTCTGATACAACTTCAATGAGTTTCGCTTGTAGTCGTGGAAATCTTGAGAGCTCAGTGGAACCACAGGTGTGACATATCTTGATAAGCTCCTCATACACTAACTCGACGCAGCGTTGGCTAGGTATTTCTAGCATCTTGATCTGTGGCTTGACCAGGAGATCGAAGGCGAGCTCGGGGACGAAGAGGCTGGGTCGAGGGCCGGTGGAATTCCGGATTGCTGTTCGTATATCGAGAACAGAGAGATTGGTTGTAGGATCGATCGTTTCCAAAGAGTTACCAAAGACAGAGTTGAAAATGTAGTAGATCCTTGCGCCTCCACAGAGTTCTTTAGTGGAGATCTCCATCGATGTTCCGTCTATCGATGAAATGAAAGACGAGGCAAAGCGTGTCATCAGTTGTAGTATTAGAGAACCCCGGTGCTCCTTTCCACTGAACTGCATGTTGCCATAGCTGGCGAGCTCTTGTTGTGTTTGTCCCATCAATGTATTTAATCTTGCCTTAATATCTGGTAACCGGTCTCGGATATGAGCCATTAAGGTATTATTGAGACTCTTTGCAAGAAACTGAGTCCCACAGCGGTTTGCCATATTGCGATAAGCAGGATTGTGCCTGAAGAAGTCCGCTTCATCCTTCAACGCATCTGCCAAGGATTTATTGCCCTGTATGTCGTGCTGTGACCTATTAACCACCCCAATGAACCCAAGCTTTAGCGGATAGACACGGCCAGATAATATGTCCAGAGCGTTAGTGCCGTGATCCATAAGATCTATCTTGGTGAGCACGCCGATTGTTCGTCGACCCATCGGATCCACATGACGGGCCAACTTGAGTGCTTCTGAGTTGACAATATCGACATTCGCCGGAGATACCGCCAGTATGATACTGTTTGGTTTAGCGATATACTCTGATATCAGATTCCTTGTCTGCTTTTCTATATCCGAGGGTTGGTCTCCAATGGGTACTTTTGTCAAACCAGGCAGATCGACCAAGGTCAGGCTTAGGACATGAGGCGAGTAGATTTTCAGGTTTATTGGCTGCCTATTGATGCCTTTGTTGCTCCCAGCTATCCTAGCTGTCTCGTTCTCTATTTCTCTTTTCACCTCTCTAAAGTCCCGGAATTTTTGGCCCGGCATGTGGTGGAACTCGGCCCATTCTCCTTGCCCTGCCACGCTGGCTGCCGTATGAGGAACATGGACCTCATCGCTGTCCGGTTTATCGTCTCGCTCGCTGGGGACGTTGATGAGCTGTAAGATCAGCGGTCTCCTTGTTACAATGCCACTCCCACGTGGTAAGAAGTCGCGCTGTCGATAGTCAGTAAGAGTCTATCGAGGATGTGCAAGCATCAGCATACACCAACGATGTTTTCTAGCACAGAAGATTTTCCGGAGGATTGTGAGCCTACTACTACCTAGAGACAGGTCAGCCGTAGCCTAAGAGCAATGCGCGTGTGAGCATAGTGGGGCATAGGTACAATCTGCGGCAGGTCCAGGGAGTCATTGCCAATGGTATTGAAGACCAGATCCTGTAATTTGTTGACGACACCAAGTAAATCCTCCCCGAGAGATGCCATTCTGCGTGTCCTTGTCGACCGTACGGCACTCGGGGAGTTTGTTTAAAGATATTGAGAACCGCGTCACGCCTGGCAGTCACGAGCTTGGTGCCTTGGAATGGCGTTGAAGGAGGCACTAGGTCAGCAAGGTTGTATGCTACGTGACATAGACGTCTCCCAGTTTCGAATGCGAGGCTGAAGTTAGAGCCGTATGGCCGTTGGAGAAAAGTGTTTCCCAGAGGCCAAGAATTGCAAGCTTTTCTTCGTTGTTTACTGGGCCAAGGTCTGGGGATTACGCACAGTGTGCGCAAACATGGTCACTTAGGTCAATTCCATTCCGACCACCACCACTGAACCATCACATCTCTCCAGAAGTAATAATCTTTCGAAACCCTCCTTGACTTTCAATCAATCAGGAAATATATCGTGCACTGTTTTACTTTTTATAGCTTTGCAGCTTCGCAAAGCCTCTCCATCATGGAAAAACACACGTCAAGTGATATCTACAACACAATATGACCAAGAGACGAGTATAATGTTATTCTTGGCTCGCTACTTCTAAGTCCTCTTGTTTGTGGGGTACTTCTCCCAGACTACAAGGAGAGATCAAAATCATAAAGCTTTCAAGCTCTTAGATCTTTGAGCCCCAGTGTTTCATGACTAGTCCTCCTGATATTTGGACAACGCGCCGTACGAAAGTCTGCCCGGCGTTTGGAGTAGGCCGAAAGCAACACCACAGTTGGGGCTCTTTGTCCGCGAAAGCACTAGAACATCTGCTCCAAGCCGGTATACAGAGGTAAACGAGAAATGTTTGGGGTCCAATGGCACACGGATTGCAAGGCTCAAGTCAGTGTAGAGGTCGCAACCTGTCTGCACACTATTGCATCGCTTCTTGGAGCTCTTTTCCCTCGCAAAGATTTCCATACTATTATGGTTCGAGCCAAGAAATATGTTCTGGAAGGGCTCAAACTGCCTCCCGGAAAATTTACCCAATCGGCCAATACTATCGTTGTTGCAAATCTTGAGGCTTTCCGTAGATGAAGTCGTACACTCGGGGACTTTCCCTCAAGAGTTCCTTTTCAAATGTCCATAGCGGACTCTCTGGTAACTCCTTCTTTGGACCGGACCCTTTACGACGAGAGCGTAGTTCCCAAAAAGCGGTCGGTCGTTTGTCGGCTGTCTCATCCATATATTTCAGCTTGTAAGGGTCCAAGGCGTCGCAGTCGTATTTCCCTTTATCTTCTACTCCTGGTCCTCGAAGCACAATTCGTGAGCGAGCTGAGGGATGCACATACTCATGCGTGTCCCGGAGCGATTTACCCGTCGACTTGCCAGTGTCCTGGTCCACTTGGCAATATAAGCCCTTTTCTGTCAGCATCACTCCGCGAATCCACATCATTTGATTGGGGAGACCTACAGGCGTGCGAGTCTCTCGCCCACCAAGAACGTACACCCCGGTCATGGACTTGTAAATCTTGCCGAAACTCCATGGCCTTTTTTTCTGCCCAGAATTTTTATAATACGCCTCCGTCTGGTCATACTGATCCAGGATATAGTCTTCGTCGAACTCGAGGAAAGGCTCAACCTGTGCCATCATCCAGGCCAACGTGATATTGGATTCGCCTTGATCAGGATATCCGCCACCAATGTTCTGATGTACGCCAGGGAACCAAATCTGAAATACCGGTGTCATTTTGGTGAACTTGGATCCTGGCGGCGATAACACATACCTGTCTCAGATTGGTTGCATTGTT